CTTTACTTTTTGTGCATTTACTTATGAACAAAGTTTCGCGGTTCGGTTAGTAGGCTTTTGGCTCACTTTTATTATGACAACGATTAGACTGGTGACATAATAGGCGATCTTGCTCTTCTTGTTTTAATTATCAAATATATATATAGAGTATTAGGATATTTTTTAGCTCGAGTTTAAAGGATTATAGATCTAATGGTGTAGTTGGATAGTTGGACAATGAGTGTGTTCACCTAACATAAAGGACCGCTTGATAATTTGAGGACATGCTTAGCAATAAAAGGTCGGTTATTTTCACTGGAAGAGAGGCTTGTACCTCATTTAATCTCTTCTCCCTTTTATATTTTCTATTTATCATTCATCTTTCTTCTTTAACTCAGTGATTTAAAAAGCGTTAGGCGCTAAAAGGCACAAAGGTCCAAAAACGCATGAGGCGTTAGGTGCTCGCCCGAGCGAAACGAGATACTAAAATATAAAAATACATAATATAATTAATAAATATAAATATTTAAATAAAAATATGTTATTAAATTAAGAAAATCTAAATTATAAAATCACAATGTCACATTAATAAACAATCTCAAAATTTAAAACAATAAAATTTTACATCAAAGTCATTCATCATAATCAATATTATTGTCATTTTTATACAAATCATCTTCATTGAATTCATCCTCTTCCTCTTGTCTTTCCTCTTCATCAAAATATGTTTCATTCTCTATGTCTTCAACAATAGCAGGAGCCGAGCTTGATGTTTTTGCACTCATTTTTTTCTTTGTCATCTATCTTGTATATGTTTATAATTCTCTAGCACCTGATGTTCTTGTCACATCTCCCCATGTTAATCTATCATCTTCAAATACAAGCTCGTCTATAGCATCTTGCAAGTTGGCACCTATTTCTCCCACCAACCACTCATTTGAATCATCAATAACTTGTAATGAGATAGAATCAATTCTATTTTGCAAATAATTACGAGCCTTCAAAGCTTGATTATACTTTATGTAAACAAGATTGTGTAATCGTTGATGTTCCAATCGATTTATTTTCTTTGAGTAAATTTGTTATGTCATATAATTTAAAAATATATTAATATATTTATCTAAATAAATAAATTAATTGAAACGAAAATATTTTGTGATCCTTACATGCTCAAAGACACTCCGGTTTCGCTCACAACCCGAAGCACTACATGTCAAACTAAATACTTTGATAGCAAATTGCTGTAAGTTCGAGATGGAATTTCCAAAAAGACTATTCAGTTGCAAAATTTATGTTATTATTAGCAATAACATAGTAACATACTATATATGAAATTAATTATATCAAATTATTAATACCTGAAGACGTAGTTGTCCTGAATTAAACTGTCATTGAAATTCCAAAAAGATTTTCGACATTTTTATATAAAGATAATTCACGAAGAATCTTATCTTGCACCTCAAGGCATAGAACTAATCTTGTAACGCACTTATATAACCCATTCAAAACTTCTGTATCAAACCCAGTAGATTTAATCTTATAAAAGAATTCAATGTTCAAATAATATCCTGTTGCATGTAAGGGACGATGAAGTTGACAATTCCATCTTTCGTCAATGATTGTAAAAATTTTCTCATATTTTTTTTTATTTTCATTGAAAGACATTTTAATCGTCTCCTTTATTTTATCCATAACCTCATAAATATATCCCATTGCAAGCTTATTTTTATTATCCACCAATCGAAAGACTCGAACAAGAGGGTTTATTACCTTTAATATATAAACTACATGATTCCAAAAGGATGACATTAAGATGATATCAGTAGCTCTCTTGCCTTTTGTTTCTTTTGCTCATTTGCTTGTCACCCATTTCTCAGAGGTAAATATGTTTCTCAAATTATGTTTTTGACGATGCACTCTGTAATGTCAAGAATGACGTAGCAAATCGGGTGACATCATATCTCACTAATTCTTTGTTGCTTGTGAATTCTCTCATCATATCCAAAGCTCCAATATGATTATAAAAAAATCCAATAACAAAAATTGCCTTTTCTAAGGTTTTCTTGATGTCTGAGATCTTTCAAATATCTTCCAACATTAAATCAAAACAATGTGCCGCATATGAAGTCCAATATAAGTGTTGTCTTTTTGTTTCAAGCAATTTTCCTGAGACAAAGGATAACAAAAATGATAAGACTTAAGAGTTTAACACATTTAATTGAAGATAAAATAATTAAAAAAATAAAAATAAATATTACCAGCTAATAGATAGTTGCTTCCATTGTTGGTTATGATTTGAACGACATTTTGTTCTTCAATTTCTTCCACGAACTTATCAAGTAAATCATATATCTTGTCTCCAGATTTTACAAAACATGAAGCATCTATTGACTTCACAAACATAGTCCCTAAAGAATAGTTAACCATAAAATTAATTATACCCATGCGTCTCCTGTCACTTCAAGCATCTAACATGATAGAGCAACCATGTGTTGCCCATGATTCTTTATGACTCTTTAGTAAGTCATTTGTATAATTCGATTCTTTTGCAACAATGGAACTCACATCTTATAGTAACTTGGAGGTTTCGGTTGCTTGGTTTAACCTAGGCGCTCGCCCGAGCACTCAAGCGACACCTCTTTGAAGTGCACCGCCTGAAAATGAAGTGAGGTGCTCAGGCCTCGCCTCGCCTCGCTCGAGCGCCTAGGTGAGCACCCGAGCGCCTATTGAAATCGCTGCTTTAATTCATCATTTTATTGTCCCTACCATTCATGTACAACATTTATATCTTTCATAAGTTACATACTAAATTGATGGAGTCTATGCATACTTCTAAGCTTTCATAGTCAGTCTTGATAGAACTCTTCTTGATAAGTAGTAGTCAATAGAAGTTACATGACTATATTTTCAATAATTTGCTTTCAAAGGGTTTAATTCCAGTAAAAAAATCTCATATCTGTTGAAGGCTTTTAAGCGTTATGGTTATTTCTACATGTACTTTGAGAACCTTCATATGTTGGTGAGTTGGTAGTTTTGGAAGTGCTTACCATCTGTTATGTTGCTTCCACTGTCATGAATATTATTGTATGCTGGATGCTGAGAGAATGTTCCTTTTTTATGCTTGTTATTCGTGTTTAGCTCTTTTCATGTTAGCATTTTGTATGATTAGTATATTATCTATCAATTAATTGTCATGGAAGTTGCTAAACTTATGTAGCTGCTTACAATCTCATCTGCAGGTTTGCCTCCCAGGTATCGTGATTCTGTCCGTGCCATTACTCCAGGTTTACCCCTCTTCCTGTACAACTACACAACTCATCAGCTGCATGGGATATTTGAGGTTTGCATATTTCTCAAATTACTTGATTCCATACTGTAAATTGAGAATGTATGTTTGCTTTTCTTTTTCTTTAAGACCTATCCATTTCCAAAATCAGCATGTTAAATTCCAATGGTTGATATTGATGTATGAACTTACAACATGTAGGTTTTAGTAGAGAATTATTAGTTAACATTTGTGTGAGATTCATGTTGTAGGATTTATAAATCCTGATTCCTTGATACAACATCGGCAACCTCCTGTGAGATGCTTGGACTTGATAAATGCTATGTAAATCTTCCACTACATTTCTGTTTAAATGAGTTGATATGGATATTTTTCCAGTTCAAAACTAGTTCATGTTTTTGAGTTATTGAGACCTGCCCACATACTATGCCATTTATTTAAAGAGCATTTTGAGGTTGAGTTGAATGTATTTTACTAGTTATAAGTGTGATCATATCATGTATGCTTGCACCTTATGCTCTGCCTACAATGTTGAAATTCATGTGATCTTGTTGTTTCTTTTGTTCCTCTTATCTAACTACTTTTTCTTAGGCTGCTAGCTTTGGTGGTTCTAACATTGACCCAACAGCCTGGGAAGATAAGAAGTGCAAAGGCGAGTCCAGGTTTCCTGCACAGGTAATAAAATTGGGGTTTGAACTTACATCATTAGAGCTCCATCACTCCTTCCTAATTTTTTCTTTATATTTGGTGAAAAATGTTAGGTGAGGATCCGTGTTAGAAAGCTTTGTAAGCCTCTTGAAGAAGATGCATTTAGGCCAGTTTTGCATCATTATGATGGTCCAAAATTTCGTCTTGAACTCTCCATATCAGAGGTATATTTGCTTCATCTTTTCTTTGTGGCTCTTTATACATTATGCTTCCGACCTTAAATTTTGTCGACGTAGAAAAGAAGATTTTTACTTGTTCACATAAGATGCCCCCTCTGTTTGTCTTTCTAGTATATTCTTGCTAGCAGGGCTAGCGAGTGTTGTGGGAAAACAGATTTCAAACAAGGGTTTAGTTGGGACCCTGGCTCACAGAAACTCCCATATTAACAATTTGTTGAAGTTCACAACTCATTATATGCGAATAGGGATACTTTGGGACCCTGGCTCATAGAAACTCGCATGTAAACAGTTTGTTGAAGTTTACAACTCATTAAACAAAGTCAAAACAGAGATTTCCACAATTGATTTATTCACAGACATAGTGTGCATAGGAACGTATAGAGTACAAAACTCTCGATTAGTTCATCGAACACAATTTGCACAGGAATGTATAGAGAGATTACATAGTGACCCACCCATTCTGTTTTCTTTGCTTCTGTGCTCTTGGGGTACCATTTGCACTTGCATAGTTGAAATTGTTCTATATATGTTTGAGCTGAATCTAACAGTCAAAAGGATAAATTACTCGTGGAAAGATGATGTTGAAGAAGGTCCATTTCCTGTTCTTGTGATGTTCTTTCTTGTGCAGCATTGCATTATGTTATGTGATCACTGATGATGTTGTTTTTCTGCTTCACATATGTATGTGCTCATCAGACTTTGCAGCTGCTAGACTTATGCGAGAAAGAGGGCATGTGAGGGCTCTAATAAAATAAATGTGGCACGTAAAACATTTGCGTGCGTTTTGAAGGCTCTGGACAATCTACTACCCACCCTAAGGTTGCTCGCCCGCGCCCACAAGAAGGATGTTGGTGTTTTGTGGGTGGCCCTCGTTTTGGCTATATCCCAGAGTTGAGGATCAAGAAATGTAATCCACCCCTATCATAATGCCCCCTTTTGTGGGACAAAACAATGGTTTCGAGTCTCTCGTGTGGTCAAACGTGATTAGCTGTCGTGTGAATTGTCCTGTGTTCCAGATGTATGCTCTTTGTAACACTAAAATAATAGCGGCGCATATGTCGTCAGTTTTCGTTCCTGAATGATGGGGGTGCCAATTTACCGTTTGAAACTTTTGGGGTTGCCAACCAATTTAATTGACCCAAATCTTGTTCTTTCAGAAAGAGAACTTAGAAGCTAACGTTTTAAATCGACGTCATCAAAATCTGTAGATCGCACTACAATATCGATATATCATATCTCTGAGAGCAGCATTTTTGATTGAATGCCACCGTTTATAGTTCTAAATCACAATTTATTTCAGATACAAAAACAACATTCACGAGCTCATATGACATCCAAACGAGAGCAAAGTACCGATCGGACGGGCCAAGCAACACTAAAGCGTGCAAAATTATATTATGCTCATAAAACACTGAAGCATCCAAACGAAAGCAAAACGTTCATCATAAAACAATTAGATTAGGCAAAACTAAGAGAGTGAAAACAGTCGAACACAAGCGTGCATAATAGCAACACAATCTCAACATAATAGCGTGCAAAAGTGCAGTTCCTAAGGGGGTTCACATACATGTAACCAAAGAGAAACCAAGAGCGAGCCTATTGGTATATTATGACATCTAGGTGAAGGCTGCCCCCTTTCCAACAGATGAACAACAACCAAAGCATTATTATATGCTCCCAGCAACTATTGGTATTTGTATGTGGATATAGTAGCATTCACCACACCTCGTCAGGAGTGCAAAATTACTGCAATGACATACAACATTTTAAGTACAACTTCCAACCTCAAAACTATTTTATGAGAAATATTAACCGTATTGTCCAAATTAAAATACGCATCACCAACAAGCCTTACCTGAGGTGGTGGTTGTGCCTGCTGCTGCGGCTGCTGATAGTTCCCATATCCTGGATATGTTGCATATGCATACATATTAGGATCCTGTGGCGGAGCATATCCATAGGTATCATAACTTTGGGTGTAACCATAGTAGCTACCATTCCACTGGTTGGGATCTTGTTGTGGCTGATTAAAAACACATAAAAAAAGGATATGTTGATGATTCCCTAGCCATAAAAGAACAGAAGAAACAAGCTCTGGCTAGGAAGGTGAATGACATATTCAACCTGTTTGTTTGCAGGACTGCGACCCCATGAAAGCCGGATGCTTTGACCACCCAACAAGGTCCCATTTAACATCCTTAAAGCCTCCTCAGCACTGGCCCTGAGAAAAATCATTATAAAAAGATGTGTAAAAGAAAATTCATCAAAACTCACTGTACTCTACCCATTTGATTGAGTAATTTTCAAACATGAGCTAACCTGTTAGCGAACTGAACAAATCCACAACGCTTGCCTACAGGTATCTTTACATAGACTATTTCCCCATATGCGCTAAACACTTGGCGCAAATGATCATCCGTAATATTTGGATCCAGTCCACCCACAAATATCTGGAAGCCAGATTCTATATTTCAGAAACATATTTTTTCACAAGTAGGAAGCTAAACCAAGTACCCACCGTTGTATTATTTGGATCAGACTCAGACTCGTCACCCTGTCCAGTCTGAAAGGAAGCTGCAAACAAACAACCCAGGTAACATTATCAAATTGATATCAGTCGTAGAGCCCTCTATTGATAAAGAATGAATATTCATATAAAAAATATTAAAGAAAAATAAAATACATTCCAAAAGCTTTATTTTTGCAACTTACAAATTTACATATTTGCAAAAGTAGCCTAAGCAATGGTCAGACTAATAAGCATACCTTTTGCAACTTATTATAACATGTAGAAAGGTCTTAATAGAAGAGAATAAAGGTGCTGAGACTGTTGTAAATTACCCACAAGTAAAATGTTTACAATGCCATGCTGAAGATAATAGTTATCAGAAAACATCACGTAAAAATGACCAACTACTCCGCCATAGAAAAAAATGCCGGTCTCAACCAGCATCCAGATAGATACAATGCCATGCTGAAGATCCCTCTTCTACAACATAAGGAGAGAAAACCAAGAACAAAGGATCCATAACCTCATTTTGTCAAAGACCTGGCAATCTAAAGATGGTTTCCATGGTTTATTAGTGTCCTTATTAAATATGGTAAAATCTAAAAGCAAATTAGCACCAGCAAAGAATTGGGTTAAATAAGAGGATGAAAACATAATAATCACTTTAGACATTGATTGCTGTGACAGTTCACTAGATGTGTTGTCAAATGAGTAAAACCAAGAAAATTATGCTGCATAAAAAAGAGAATAAAAGGGATTGTTTGTGATACAAAATCACAACTCCTTACGTCAAGAATGACCATGAATTGGATTGATGCCTCAATCAAAACGGACCAGTTATGTTCATATTGAATAATATAGTATAAGAAAAATATGAATCACATATTTAAGCAAAGAATAGAAGTAAAACAGCAAATATATAGAACAGTTAATGGTAGTAAATATTTCTCACTAGAAGTGGCAATTTCAGTTCCCAATAACTACTATCAACTGAAAGGCAGCTGCTCAGTAACTCTTCAATCTTTGATGGTAAGTCAAGAATCCAACTCAAATGCAGCTACTCAATAACTCTTCAAACTTCAATATATAAATTAAAACTCAACATAGCTTGAGAAAATATCAGCAATATTGAACCAAGGCCATCCACAAAGCTTAACATCAGGATCATATGACAATTCCCAAAAAAAGAAATAATGTAACAATAAACAAACTTGTTACCCAACCCAGATAGAACAAAGGATACCACATCCAGCAATAAGATACTGACCAGAATCATATATTTCAGCACCTTGAAGAATGCAATTAATCAAAGAGAACTGCTAATAACTTCCACAACAAATTAGAATGGAAGGTGAATACCAACTAAAAAGCTGAAGACAGTGAATACATTGGTGTATGATTTTGCAGAAAGAATAAAGAATGAAACAAAAAATATTGATCTAACAGATGCTTATAGCAGCAATTCTTTAAAGTTTCCAATGAAAGTACTGAAAGAAAATTGAAAACGATGGTACTATAAATCAACCTACGGGTGCAAAATGCAAGAAGCTCAAGGAATTATACTGAAAAAAGCAAGCAGGAACTTGAGAGTGAGATTAAGATAGATTACATAAGTTAGATAATAAATAAGGTAAAATGTAGCAAAGAATGCCACAAACAAGGACTAAGAACCAAATTATTATGCAATCAAAACACTGACCTAACCGGGGCCACCACTAAAGGAGATATGCATCTCAGCTGAAGTCAAGTCCAAGCCCTAAATGAAGATAGCATGGCATCCTGCTTCGAGACAACATGAGTTTCTATAAGTGTTTTTCTCTAGAAACTATGTTTTAAATGAGCCCAATTTCACAAAGGAAAGTGCTGGAAGGAAATGAGGTTATACATCAATCGAAGCAATGCCGCTTATCTTCAAGCGTAAGACGGGGAAATGAAATTACTAAGGATAACATTTATCTGATTCCTCATCTGCCACACTAAGCATTCAGCTGATCTAAATAAAAAAAATCTACATATGCAACTAATTAATGAAGAGGCAACTTAAGCTACATGATCCTCTGCAGAATTCTCCTGTATGAGCCGTGCACAAAAAAAACATATAATATAAAAATCACAGGAACATAACACAGTCATATACCATTTGCGGAATACTGTTGTTGGGTACCCAAGCTCTTCTTATTAGCAGCTGCACCAATCCGCATGGGTCTTGTTGAACAGTAAACTCCATTCATTTCGGTCATTGCTCTTGTTTGTTCATTTAAATCTCCAAATTTGACAAATCCATAGCCTTTGGAGCGCCCAGTCAGTCTATCAGTGACAACTTTGGCACCCTTAACTGAGGTGTAATGGCTCTTGAATGTCTCTTGCAACAAATAATCAGTAACATCTGCCGCCAAGTCTCCAACAAAAATCGTATAATCAGCACCATCACCATGTTTCTCACCTGCCCCACATGTTGCCCAGTTCATTCTGAAAGCTTGTTCAGAGTTAGGCATAATTTGACCATTATATGTTTGAAGAATTCGATCAGCAGCCACACGTGATACAAACTCAATAAAACCATAACCCTCTGATTGCCCGGTCTGCTTGTTGCGGATAACCTTAACTGAAACTACCTGCACCATTAAAAACACCACATTATATTGCTACAGACACATAAGAACTAGATTAGGACGCATGTCCAGTTCATAAACTAAACAGAAAGAATGTTAAGGACTTACACGAGGAAAAAGCATGATAACTAGACATAAACTTAAACTCTAATGTTGTCAAAACACGAAATATCAGAGGATAGGTATTTGGCATCCTTCTAAACATATGGTTCGCTAAATTTGATATTAAAGATTCTATAAACATCAAAGAAATCAACAAGAAAGCAGAACACAACGAAAAAAATACTATAAAGCCAGAGAAATCAAGATATATATAAACTTATGCAAAGGGGGAGGGAGGACCTCCCCAGTATGCACAAAGCAGCTGTACAGATAGTTCTCGTCCATCCAGTACTGCAGATCGCCAACCCAAAGCGTACGGATCTCATCAGACGACGCCGGCTGTGGCGCCATGGGCGGAGCCTGGGCGGGCGGCGGAACCTGGTACTGCATCTGGGGCGGCGGCACCGGAGCCGGGGCCTGATACTGCGGCTGGGGCTGCGGCACGAGCTGGGGGACAGGCGGCGGAACCTGGGAGGGTTGCTGGTTCCACATAGGCGGCGCAGGGGGGGCCTGGTAGTACTGCGGCTGCGGCGGCATCATGTTCCACTGCTGCGGCTGCTGCTCCATCGGCGGCGGCGCCATCGGAGGAGGCTGCATCATTCTGAAATCAAAGAAGATGACAGATCTCGAAACCTAAGCACTGAAATCGGACGAAAGAAGGCTAGATGGCGATCGGCCACGATCGAAGCACTAGAGATTTGGGATTCGGATAAATCTTGGCCCTAAAAGATTCGGAGGCGCAAGACGAGGGATGGGTCGGAGAAACCCTAACCCTAAAAATAGAGAGGACCAGAAGAGAAAGGACGCGACGGAAGAGCAATCATATATAACCAACAGGCGCTAGTTTTCCTCCTCGAAATTGGTTACCCACTTTCGTACCTGGTTCATGCCAGTAGAGATGGTTCTTCGCGGGACCCAGATTAACAACAAAGGTATCTTTTATGGGTTAACGAACCCCGTAAAGGGAAGTAGTTTCGAGGACGAAAGGGTGAGAGCCGCGACGATATTATTGGCGGGGTGTGGGCGCACGGCGGACTGATCGTGTGAGCGTCCGCACATTAGAAGCGTGCGCCACCGGCCCCTGAGATGGGCCGGGCCTCCAGTAGCACGAAAATTGATGCTAATGGGCCCTCCAAATACTTTTCCTCTGCAATTTGATTTGATTTCACCTGTGTTATTTCCTCGATCATATATTTCTGTCTACGTGAAAGAAAAACTAAGTTAAATTGCTTATCTATTGTAGAACAATATTGGTGGAGAAACACATTCGTGATGTGCTGATGAACTGATTACATACAGTTCTCAGACCAAATGGAGATCATAGTTGCTTTTGCTTCAAATGAGTAGAGTACCAAAAATATAAGACTGTTTTCTGAAAGTTGATATAGGCAACTGTTTATGATATACTGGATAGATATTTTCTTTGAGGAGAAAACATGTCAATAAGCATGTCAGATTTGCTGAAGGTATGATAGATACTGAGCCCAAACAAAGAAAGGAGAAAGAAAGAACCAAAGAAGAACAGAGAAGAGAGAGAGTAAGGGAGGAGGAAACAGAAACTATAGTCACAAAGCTTTCCACTGGAACAAAGATCTATTAAGCATCTAATGACAATGTCACTGATGACTTCAATTTTCATGACAAAATGGATTTAAGGAGCTTACAATCTTCTTTGAAGTTGCGGTTATCTCTCATTCTAAGAGAATTCTCTTTGTTATTTCATCTCTTGGATCTCTACACAACAAGTTCAAAAGAAGTAGCAGCTATCTAAAATGCCCACTGAGTAACAAGAAAAAGATTCAGATGCCTAAATCGCTTTACGACCTGCCGGTAGACGCATCTTCTAGCTCTGGAGAAAGCAACTCTCAGTCTTTTCAGCTTGAGGCCGATCTTTCTCTTCGATCTGCACGCTCTAAGCCTTGAAGATGATCTCCTCTGTCGAGTGTCAGCTTCTTCCAGTGTTCTGTATATGAGGAACCTTGCTTTCAGGTGTTGCCTTTCCTCTGGGTCTTCCTTGTCAACCCTTGAGTAAGAGCAATGTGACCTCAGGAACCCCATTTGAGTCTTAGAATTGTGAACAGGGTTGTGGGCTTATTTATACAGAGAAGCATAAATCTCATCGAGCTGTCTTCAATAGTTTATGTTATCAGGAATGGAAATTGTGAAGGCTCGGGGGAGCTTCCTGTGTTCTGCACATAATCTTCATCTCAGGAACTGGGAAATGTAAGCTTTGATGATGATGATGATTTACCTCTTGTCAGATCTAAAATTCTTTTTATATATATAATTTTTGTTCCTGAGTAAAAACATGTAATAGTCCAAAAGAAAACATATGTGATGAAGACATGCAATCATGTGCCAACAAATTCACAGGAAGTCCACCAAGTGATGAATAGTTTCTGGGCAGCATTCCTTGAAACATGACTTCATTTGGAGGTGGGTCACCTTGTTCTTCACAACCTAATCACATCTATCTGGAACTGTCCATGACTTTGTCAGGAGACAGTTCACTGCTACACTAGCAATCTTCAAACTGGCATGACCACCTTCTAGGCATGGACACAACAACACCAAAATATGTTGAATGTTCAGTGGCACAGAATTCATTTCTTCAGCAAATCGCCGATTAGGATTTTGATGGAGCAGGCTGATTTATCTTGGCAAAATTTATCTCTTGGAAGTTGTGGGGTTTGAAGTTGTATTTGATAAGCTAATTTGTTTGTTTTGATGGTTTGCTTCTCTTCATTCATTCAATCTTTATCTGAAGAGGTTTGATGTGCTACATGTGATTCAATGAGCAGCTCATGTATTGGCAACTTTATTTATCTGAAGAGGTTCTATCTATCCTTATTGGCAACTTCTGTAGGTAGACAAGTGAAGCTAATAAGATCATGTAAAATTCAGGAGCATAATCTTATGATGCCATTAGAGTCATGCCGAAAACCTGAAACCAGATGTTCTTTATCTATATAAAGCAAACGGCAGCCATCATCACAAAAGGATTTCAAAACTTTAACTTTGGTTGAAGCTGAAGATTTCTTTAAGTGGATAGATAATTAAAGGATGGAGGACCTGCAAGTATGAAGATGGAAGTGGCAGAGCAAACTTGGTTATGCAGTTGTAATAGATCTCAAAATCATCATTCCTGGATGAACAATGAGGTGTAGTATAATAAGCAGCATTATTGCAACTTCAAAGATATATTAATCTTTCATGACATGTCCAGTTGATGAAAGCTGTCAACTTGACCTGCACATTACAGCACAGCAAGCAATATTTCCTAGTCCTAGTAAGCATGTTGACCTTGTGCGATACTTGTGAAGTTCTTTGCTGATCAACATTGTCAACCTTAACTGTATCAGCTCAAACTTTTAGATGAGAACAATTTACTTAGTTAGATCATTCAAGATTGGACAATTTAAGGACAGTGTATAGGTTTAATTCCGTCATGAGAAAATCCGCATAAGAAAGAAAGAACTGCCTGGTTGTACGCAGTCGGAGGTTCAAGCAAAGATATTATTTCCATAACTCGAGTTTTTATCGAAACCTCCATTGGTGCATGCTGCACATCAAGTACTTTGTCCCAATTCTTCTTATGCTGATCAGGAACAAGATCAGTTTGTCTACTTCATATCAAGTTCCAATCAGCATGTAACAGGGACCTGCCTGTACCTATATTTATGAGGTACATTTAAGGTTTATATATTTCAACCATGTTATATAGATAGGTTTCTTATCTCCTTCAGTCAATACATCTGCTATCTTCTCAGGTTCTTCCTTTCTGACAGATGGGAGGATGGTAAGGCAATTTGGGACTTGGATACATTGGAAGCTACTAGCAATAATCCATACTTCTTTTACAGGACATGGATACATTTGTTTGAGATATTGTCACTTGTAAGCTTCTGATGATGTTATATGCCCAAGTTTACTCATCTATCCTCTCTGGGACTTCTGCCATGTTTTGTTCAGCAATGATGCATGCAGCAAGAAACTCTTTTGACTCCTTACACTAAATGTATGACTGTAACATGATCACCAGAGTTCATATTATGATTCTTTACAGCAAAACAGGCTGAGTTTGGATGCAAAGTATCAGAGTTGCCATTCTTAAACGCAAACACCGTTATAATCGATATTTTGAACCATTTTTCTTACTGATGATCTCATGCAATCTATACTCATAGATACAGTAAACAAAAGTGACCATCAGACTCTGACTCACAAATTATAAATCATAATACAGTAATATGTTTTGTATTACAAGCTTCAATTATTTGGTTGCGAAAAAGAGGAGAGTATATTCTGTACATGCACATCAGCAATGATGAATAATATCACTTTTTATTGGTGCTGAAACAGAGTAGTACACTAATTAATAGTCCACTGAAGTTGACATTATTTCTTTTGCATGGTTTCTATTGAGAGCCACACAAGTTGAAATTGTCTGCTTCTGCAAGTCAAACACATTTCATCAGATTCAAGATAAGGTCAGAAGATGGACACCTTCTAACTTGAGACTTGGTCTTAAACAGAGGGCATATTTGCAGTACCAGTCTATAGTGACTCATTTCATCTATGTCTCTACTTTATCTCAATGTTTATATTAGAAGACCAGAGAAGAATTCCAGCAGCAGCAACAACTACCTAAGTAGACTGATCCTTCAAGCAAAAAGCTTCAATTTTTCTAACCAGAGCTAAAAAATCCACAGCAAGCAAAATATAGTCTTTGCTTGCAAAATTGCATTGTTTTTTTTATGTTTAAGACTGCATCCTTAATCAACATGACAACATTTTCTTGCTTCTTCCTGAGACTTTTTCCTAGTTTGTATATCTTATTCTCTCTCTCTCTCTCTCTCTCTCTCTCTCTATATATATATATATATATATATATATATTTGCACCAGTCTGATTGTAATGTACACCAAATTGACAGGAATAATACTTGTGTATTGTATTCGATAATATGTATACAGCAAAACTCAAAGAAAGGAAAGATAAAAAAAATGTCTTCTACTACCTAATTTACATCAAATCAATAGTAATATACATACATGCAAAATATATACTCTGCATCATCGCCATCATCACCATCATGATCATCATCATTCGGGTACCTCCGGTATGCTCTGTAGCTCCGGCCTCCAATGCCTCCCTTGATCATGGTGGAGTTCCCACGACTCGCCCATGCTCACCAGATCCGCGATAAATCGTCGCAGCGGCAGTTTCTCGCCGTCGTCGGCTTGCCGCAGAAGCTTCTCCAGCTGCTTCTTGCTGATCTTGATCTTGATCTCGGTCGAGCCGGAGCTGGCCTTCTCCTTGGCGGCCTCCGCTCCGGCCTTGCGCTGCCTCTTGTAATGCTTGGGGCTCCTGCTTTCCATGGATCCCCAGTCGTCGTCCTCGTCGTCAACCCATGTCACCGGCTTCTGCAGGTCGAGACAGTTCCCCATCCCCTCTTCCTCCTCCTTTACTCTCTTCCTTCCTTCTGTTATCGTGCTTTTCTTTGTGTCTTGATGTTAGAATGTGTTATGGAATGAGATCGAGGAGGCAGCAACGATGGAGGAGGCTGCTATTTATGGAGAAGAGAAGGGGAAGAGGAGGAAGGGAAGGGGGGGGGGGACGCGGAGGAGGCCGCTAGCTCAGACGACGGTTCGTCGAAGTCCCTCGTGGCGACGTCAGGGGGAGACAGGTCAGCAGCGGGGGTCCATGGCGGGTCGGCGCCGACAACGTGTGAACGTGGATCGGTAGGAGAATCTAGTGGTTGGATTTCCCCGTGTAAACGTGGTCTTGTCTGGAACACGATCTTTATGACAAATCTAACCTCGCCCCTATCAGTTGCTTCCCACCACCTCCCACGGCTCTCTTCTCTTTGCGTTTAGGTTAAGTCATGAGCCAGCATCGGATGCCTACAGGGTGTGGATTAGGAAGAGAACACGATGTACAGTTTGCCAACTCCGCCATTATTTAGGAGCCTTTGAAACAAGAACACAAACAAACAACAGATTGAATCCAATCCTCACCAATGAATTCCTTACAGCAGGGAGCAGTAGCTGAAGAGAGTCTTGGTGAAGAACAAATCCTGATCAAGGGTTGGGGCTTCTTTGTTTTCCTGATAACAGCATTTCAGTGATGCAAAAAATCATCTTTGGTTTTTGGTTCTCCTCTGTTCATTTTTAGATCCAGATGAGGCTATACCACTCAGATATGGCAGATCTACTTTTTCTAGGAAGTCAACTTCTTTCATATAGTAATAACTAGCATTTTAAGGGAATGGTTTCCCTGCAAGAGGATTTGTCAGCGGTCTTGAAGTGTGTATCATTGAATCCGTGGAAAATGGTTACCTAGAAACAGAGGTTGCTTTAACTCTTTTTATCTTTTCCCATCCTTTGAGAAGATTTGTTGAACAAGCTGGAACCATCTCTCTTTCTTAGATCTTTTGCATGTGGCATTGATTCAAGGAGGTTGTCCATGAATCTCTGCATTGAATGTGCCATTGGTAAAATAGTTTGATCTCTTCTGACTGGCCTTAATTTGCACAAAGGCAATTTTTCTTTTTGTGGTTTCTGGAAATTTCTGACCATGTCATCTAGAGGCACCTGGAAGAGAATACAGTTTGAGGTTGGAGATTTAACATGAACAAGTGGTCAAGGAATCCTTGATGGCATATGAAGCTTCCTTGCACTTACTTGGTTAATTGTTTTGAATGCTCTTTGCAAGATAACCATCAGAAGAATTTGTCTCTTGATCAGGATTGCTATCAACAATGTCAGCCAATATGTGGATGACAACACCTTGAAATATGGTAAGTGTAAAAGATTAAAGAGCCAAGAAAAAGGTTAGTCTTCTTTGCTACATGCATGGATCTACATCTGCTTTTGGCTAAAGGTTGTTGATCTAATTCAGCCTAGTGTGTAAAAGAACATGAATGGTATCTCTTCCTTCCATCAGGCAGATGAGTATGAACATGGCATGTCTTTAGAATCTCTGACTGAGTTGGTTCCTTCTGGCACAAGTACTCTTGTCACAGATCTTTTCCAAATCAATCACTTCCTTTGACGGCCTCATCCTCCAGAAAATATACATGACAAGCTGCAAGCAGGAAACTGGCAGTAGTTGCCATGCAAAAGTGGCTCAGCAGTCTGCATCACCCAAGGTGTTGGAAAGAGTCATCTATGACAAATACACATTCCAATTTCACATAATGGTGAATGATTAAACCTGTTTCTTCCATCCTTGTTCACCTAAATAAATTCCTGGACTTCCAGCTCTGATACATGACACCCTGATAGATATCATCATGCTTCTAGTAGACTTCTTTTCTTAGTTTTGTCACTGAGATCTATTGTTTTGAGACTTGGTAGACCTAATAGCTGAACTTAATAGAAGGCACTTAGGTAAACTGAAGCTTACTGTAACTCTGGTGTCTATATCACTATATGTCAAATTCAGTGATGAAGGTAGAGGTTAGGAATATATGTATATATATATACATACATACATATATATATACATATATATATATATATATACATATATATATATATATATACATACATATACATATACATATATATATATATACATATATATATACATACATATATATATATATGTATATATATATATGTATATATATATATATATATATATATATATGTATATATATATATATATATAGGAATGTGTTTAGTGTGGAAAGAGCTCAGGAAGGAATCTGATCATCTCAACTTTTTTGTTCCTAAGAATCTGTCACTCATCTTGTCATAGTGTAAGTGATAAAGATATCATCCACCATACTCACCTAATCCATTTAAGTTCTAATAGAGCCAAAAAAAGCTCACCAGAGTTGGCTATATCTCAAGTCCAAGAGGTCTTCTTCCATGTCCATGTTGGCAACCTGTAAAGCTGTGTGTCCAAGATGTCAATGGTTATCTTATCCATGTTAACATGTGTATCACAATTTTCTTTTACCATATCCAGTAGAGAAGAACTTGCCAGCATTTGAATCTTTTTCATGGTCCTGCATGGCTGTGATGGATGCATCCATCACATGAACAATTTATCCAGATTGAAATTATCCTGATGCTTTTTTACTTAAGAAGGAAAACTAAAATATTTCAGAATAGCAGTGTCGATAATTCACTTGAACAGAGCCATTTGAGAAGGATATACAGAAAAAAAATATTAATATTGACATATAATTTATTTGTTGAACTGTTTGGATTGTCAATCTGGTAATATACAGGATGACATCAAGGTTAACTAATTTGAGTTTAATTATCCTTATTATTCTCATCTTTCATGTAATTTCAGTGTTGTTATACTATTGACTAATTGACCAGTATCAACTACAGTGACATATCTCTAAGTTTTTGACTCTTGCAAGAATATATATGCTAAATCTAAATTTATAGAGAAAATATGAAGATCATCATGTGTAGTTTTGCCTGATTTATTGGTCAGAATCTACAAATGAGCACCGTCACACCAACTTCTTAATCTCTGCCGGAGCAGATTCAAGTCAGCACTCAGCTGTGCAGCAACTTTTCAGAGTCAACTCACTCTTCCATTCCAGCTGTAGTAGATTCTAAGTAAGCACTTAGCCGTAGAACAGCTTTTCCGAGTCTTAAGCCCCTCTGTACTTTGACTTTGATGTGCTTACACTTCATGTGGTACAAGTTGTACAAGTTGAAGGATGTACTGCTCCAATTTGAATCTCTATGGGATATTAATTGGGATGTGTGTGGATGCAATGCATATGAAAGAAAAAGAAGAGATTCTTCAGAATTCTTCATCTTAGTTCAGCCATCAATCAGAACTGTTCATATGCAACTTTATTTTGTCACCATGAAGAGCCAGCCTCATTTGATGATTTGGAGGTGATTAATGCAATGGAGAATTGGAGACATCCTTTGGGTTGTAAAGGTCTCCAAGACATTCCAAGAGAAAGAAAGGAACCTAACGAATGAGGAGGATAGTGAGTCAGAGAAAACTCAGCAATAGTTTTGGTAGGGAATATTCAGATCAGACAAATGCATATGCTAGTGATTCATTGGTAAGAAAGATATCAGAAGAAACAACAAGAAGTTGCCAGCAATAGTTTCAGATTACACCATGTTATTGGACTTAGCATACATTTGCATCCTTGTTGTAGGGCTCAAGAGGATGTTTTCCAGTCATGGATACTTGTCTTGTCTTGGCTAAAATCTCTGAGAGGATGAAATAAAGCAGGTCATGCATGCTGTAACATGAGATGGTCTGGAATAAACTTTAGTACTTATTTCTTGTGTTCAACCCCAATTTCTCTTTTCAGGCTGCTGTGGATGGAAATGGGAGTAATGACCATATTACATCTCAATACTACAATAAACATAACAATGGGCAAGTGCTACTTGCTTGTAGAACTCTGGAATCCTCACACTGATTCAATCTATATGATCTTTTCACTGTTTCGGTGCTAAAGGAGGACAGAATTTTCTTGTATGTGGTTCATTTGACATTTCCTTTTGCCACCTTCAATGACAGGTTTATTACCAGAGATGAACTGATCAGCCATGACAGAGCTTTGGTTGTACATTGCATTCTCCAATTTAAATGATGATCATAGGCACTACTTCATTATTCTGTGGATCATGAGCTTCAATTTCAATGTCTGCTTGAACACAGAAGACCTGAGGATTAACATGACGTAAATTTTGCTTTGTTTAGTAGACTATTATCTAAATGATTTGGCTGATGTTCTTGATGAAGGTTTTGGAATGAGATGCAAAGGGCTTCTTATTTATTTTGATAAGAAGTATCAGCTTCATTTGTGTCTCTCTACCTTGGATTGAGTTGAGTCTGATGGCATCCCAACCCATCAGTCTCTTTGTGCTGAAGTATAAGATCATAGTTTTTCTCAGACTTCAAGAGTTCATTTCTCTATTTCCTTGTTCAGTGTTTTTTCCTTTGTATCTTGCATCTACCATTGCATAATTCACATGATCTCCCTAAGACATTAAATATATGGCACATGCCTTCCTCAAGGTGACTATTTTAACTAGAAGGAAAGATCATGCATGAAGTTACCAAAGATTGAGGTGATGGAGAAGGAGCTCAATATGCTTGAGATTCTTAAAATTAGAACCACACAGACTAAGCTGGTCAATCTCTTTATTCAATCCTTGCAAAATGCTTTTGCAGACAAAATGAGGATTTTTTTTTTTGGAATCAGATAGCAGAAGCCCTCTGTGAAAAGACTTGTTCCTTCCATTGTTCCTGAGTTCTCTTTTTCCAAGTTTGAACTGCTTGTAGCAGTAGCATTGCTCTACTTTGAGCCCCATTTTTGACACACAGAGAGAGAGAGAGAGAGAGAGAGAGAGAGCTTTGAGAACAATCTACATAGTAGAAAGAAGATCCTTATACTTGAAAACAAAAACAAAAGCACAATGAGCTTGCAGATTTGAAGCATCATTGCAAAACAGACAGCAGAAAAAGCACAATAAGCTTGCAGATTTGCATTATCACAAAGAACACTATGGAAGTTGTAGTGCAAAAGGAGTTGCATAGACATTTGATTTCCCCTTCCGATATAAAGAGAACCAACCTAAGAACTGCCACACCCAGCAGCCATTTCCAGAGAGACAAGCTAAACAGCTGGAAACCTATAATACAAGCTGAGTAAAATCCCACCAAAATTGCTCGTCATTGCACAGCACAGGATAAGCAGCCACTCATTCACTTGTCGAGTATCTTGAAGTCCAGTACCTCTCAATCTCTTCAGCTGTTCTTCCAGGGATCCTTCCAGCAATCAGTGACCACCTGCTCTTCAGAACAACAGGAAACAGTAAAGAAAAGCAAGAAACTGGCTCCAGGTGCTACTCGAAACAAAAGTGAAAGCTCACCGACCTCTCTCCGACCAGATTATACATCCTGGTAATGAGCTTCTCTTCATCCTCCGAGAAATCCATCTTGGAATCTTGACTGTTCCCATCTGAAGGAAACACACAAAGATGTTAGCCAACCAGAGATGGCCGGTCATTCGATTAGAGAAACAAGCATTGATTGCATGTGTTCACCTTTAGAATCAACATCATCCGACGATCGGTCCAAATCTTCCATACTCCAATAAATGCAGGAGATTCCGACAGTGAGTAACCCCAAGAACTGTGTCTTTTACCCTCCTCTCGAGGATTCATGGAGGCGAGTAGACTCACGAGCAGGATTATATAAGGAGGAAGGTGGGAGAGAAGAAGAATGGATGGTGAGAATGGCAAGGAAAGACCGGTAGTTGCTCTCGAAAGGAAAAGGGATGAGGTTTGATAGGTTGGTGGAGAACGAAGCGGTAGTTGGCTCGAAAGCACATGCTGATGTTTTCTTCCACGATGGATATCGGATAAGATTTTGTCTGCTCCCATATTAATGTAATCCTTCAGACCCCTAAATTTGTAGATTTGATGTGGATATGGTTCAGAAAATTCTTCTGGAAGATTACAGTTAGATGGCAGTACGTATCATAGTAAGTATGTTCATGAATTGTGTTAGTCAAAACTTGCATGTATTTGACATTTGCCAATTTGGCATAAGCAATTGAATTGAATTATTTTACATTTCCATGTTACACATAACAATGGTGGCATATTTATTCAGCTATTATTTCGATCTGAGCCAAACTTACATGTTTTCATGACATAAACAATTGAATTATTTTGCGTGTCGATAGTATACATAACAATAGTGGCATATTTATTTGGGGTAATTACATATTATTCCTGATAGTTAATTATGATTAGCATTCTGATTTTTTTATTTAAAAAAATAACATTGATGTCTCTACACAGAAACATTTAATCTTATTTTTTCTTTGTCGACGGAAAAAATCATACGTATAAAAAAAACGAATAGAAAGGATAAAAACATAATTTCATTATCTTTCCAAATTACTCGCCCTTGTTACATCTGCTTGCTCGTCCCTCACCCATTGTTCGCCCACCTCTTCCTCACCACACATGCTTATCTACTATTGCGAGTGGACGAGCAAATGCAATAAGCAAGTGATGGGCGAGTGGGTGCGACAGGCAAGCAAGGAAGTACGATAGGCTACGAGGAGGAGAAGAGGAAATCGATAAAGTTTATAAAAAATTAATAATTTAAAAGATAATAAAATTATATTTTATCCTTTTCATTTGTGATTTTTTTACACATGATAAATTTTTTCTATCGACAAAGTTGACGATATAAAGAGAATTAGATTTAAATATTTCACTTTCGTAAGTATAGAGATTTCAATGCTACTTTTTAAAATATAAGGATCGAGAAACTAATCATAATTAATTATAGGGATAATATATAATTATCCTTGTTTATTCTGTTATTATTTCGATCTGAGCCAAGCTTACATGATCTGTTTTCATAACACCTTAACAAGATTACTATCGTCCAAAGATTCATGCAACATCTGCGTAGAAGTCCCGAATCACTACACGGACGGCAATCGGCATCCGAACAGCATGAGCTCCACCATCAAGCCAAGTCAGGCTTCCGAACATGTAGTCTCCTTGCACCTTGTGAGTGGCCGTGAAGGTCACCTTGAAACTACGCACCTTGGCTGTGGCATCGAACACAAGCGTCGGTGGCTCCACAACCATCTGAACGCCCGGCGGGGACTCGAAAGATGCTTTGTACACTGCATCTACTTCTTCTCCAACATTGGTAACTGTTCTCCAAACTGCAGTGGTTGTCTTCAGATCAGGAATGGAGATGGAAGGAAGGTTCAGGTAATACACAGGCTGGAGCACTTCGGCGCAGATATCAAATTGTCCTGTTGTACAATTGAAGAACTTGTAATACTCCTTCGGATCGATGTCATATACAAGGCCTGGATCTGCAGCCCTGTCGGGATCTATTTGACCCCCTCCAAAGTCAAAAGGGTCAGCAATCTTTCTTGGATTTCCTTCTGCTTGTATTGGCATGCCATAGCCATTGGTGATAGAAGCTTCGAGCGGTCCCGAGCACAATCGGAAGCAGTTAGCTACAGATAAATGAGTGATTATTTCGCGGAAAAAGATCTTAAACACTCACCTGTTGTGACGAGTGCTGATTTGATGGCAGCATGAGACCAGTCTGGATGCAGGGATTTCAGCAAAGCAACTACTCCTGATACATGTGGGCAGGCCGCCGAGGTTCCTGAGCCGAAAGTGTAGCCGTCCCTCTTTGCTGCCAATATGCTGACACCAGGTGCAGCAACATCAGGCTGTTTTAAGAATCCGTGTTCATTTGATGAGCTTTCAGAAAGCAATCTTTAAAGCACAGCATTCAGATGATCTTGTGTCAAACCATGGTGATGATGCCTCATGTCTATAGAACCTCAATTAAGAAGCAAAAGCTAGTTTGCTTCTGTGTTGTGTGGTAGTTTAGTACCTTCAGCACGCCAGGGAATGGTATGGCTGGTCCTCTTGAAGAGAACCATGCTACTTTTGGAGACAGCACTTCTTTCCCTATAGCATTGTGAGTCAGCTCCACTGCCACCTGAGGTGATCTGTTCGGTTGGATCAGATCATTTTAGAACAGTATGTATCTAAAAAATGAGTCCTGGTTTTGTGAATGATCGGAGAAGACTTGCCTTTCAGTAGTAATGTACTTTTCGATCTGGTATCCAATATCGAAGTCTACAAGAACACAGATGATGCCTATGCATTGCTTGGTGAACTCAAGAACATTGATGGTGAACTGTGCAACGATAAGACCCTTCCCCCCAGCATTTTGGACAGTAGACAGCGCAGTGGGGAAACCAGGTTCGAGCGAATAAGCCAGACACAGCACGATCGATCCGCTTATATCAGTGCCATTGAGAGATTCCGGCGAACAGCTGCAGAGCATTGAAAATGTCGGTCTCGAGCTATTTTGGTTCCATTAAGCTATTCAGTTCTTATAACTCGTACCTTCCGCCAAGGACCAGAGGCATGTATTTATTCTTTGATTCACTCGTCGAGTTATAGAAGATTGACTGGCCCTGCAAGTAAAAGACATGGATGATGGATTTCGGTCAGTAGTGTAATGAAGAATAATGATGGTTCACTTGCAGCTAAGAACACTTCAAATTTAGGCATTTCTGAAGAATTAGATTCTTCCTGCACCAACTGATAATCTAGTTCAAGGTGATGACCCACATCTACCCAGATCTAAGAAGGTCCACTGTGGTTTGCAGTCCATATGATCTCATCAAATAAAGAAGGCAGCATCATAATGCTTCTCTATTATTTTCATAGAGTCTTGCTCAACAAAGACTCTATGCTCACTTGATGAAGATGGGTACTGCGAGTTGTTCATTATAGATTTTTATTTGTGGAAGACTTGGTGCTGTGAAAGATGAATGCAGTGGTGACGACAGCGACGGAGAAGTAGGTATTGACTTGCATACCACAAGACTTTGATTGTTTCCGAGGATGATTGTGGTAGGAAAAGACCGATCGATGGTGCTTGCAGCCACTGTGATGACCCAAGGAGCCGTGTTGAACAGGAGCTGTGGAATGGGGCCTAGGTTGCCTGCGGCGTACACGACGGTGATCCCTTTAGCCACGGCGTGCAAGGAACCAAAGGAGTCCTCCTCGAGCACCACCAGCGACAGCGACAGGATGTCGACCCCGTCGTGGATGGCGTCGTCGATGGCCGCCAGCACCGTGGCGGTGTTGCCGGCGCCCGAACCACTGCCGCTGCCCCACACCGCCTTGTACACCGCGAGCCGGGCGCGGGGGGCGCCGCCCCTCGCGTCCCCGGCGGCAAGACCGTGGAAGCTGGCGCCGCGCACGAGGGAACCGGCGGCCACGGAGGCGGTGAACGTGCCGTGGCCGTTGTAGTCGCGGGGAGACAGGTAGTCGATTCTGAGGTTGCTGTCGTCGATCCCGGCGGTGTAGTATCGAGCCCCGATGACTTTCCTGCTACAGTTGTTGGCTCCGAAGGCAACTCCGACCTGGCACACGCCTCTCCATCGGCTCGGCACGGGGCTGTACCCGTCGTCGTTAAAGCTTCTGGATTCCGGCCATATACCTAACAGAGAAACATATACGTGATCTTTGTTTTCGTTTTTCTGCAGTAAATACTAAGTGTTCAATAAATGACGAGACTAAGAAGATCTTAAAGAGACGGCTGACACCAGCAAATACTGCTAATAAATGCGGAGTTGATGCCATGACAAGAAAGGAGACGAGGTTTGGTTGAACATAAACCGGCTTAAGAAGCTCTTAGCTCCATAGAAGCAAGAGTGCGACAGACCTGTATCGACCATGCCGATGATGATGCCATCTCCATAATTGCTCTTCTTTAGCAGCCCAGTCGGATGCATATAGTTCAGTCCCAGGAAGTCCCAGCTTCGTGTGGTCTGCAGCTCGTAGTTTCGACTTGGTCGTACGCTGATAACGTCAGGAGACTCTGCAGTTGCTCCTCGGGTTAGTGGTTTGTGTAAAAAGTTGGGCAAAATGTTGTGGTTGAGAGAGCCGCTCAACCTGCTAATTCCTCTGCTTGTGCTTCCGTTAGCATGGCTGCAAAGCCTGAGAAGCCATGCTTGTAGCTGTAAACGATTGATGACACAGCCTCCTCTTTGCTACATATAACAAACATTTCCATGGACAAAGTATTAGACTAACAACAATCATCGTGAAACCTTCATGGACTTGAGTGGCGTTCTTCATCCTGAGTAAGAACTTGAGTCTTGTAGGAATATAAGTTATGATATTAATGCACATCACATATGGGCAATAAATTATGCTGCAAACTACACCAAGAGTGACCTTCAATTTCAGGGAAATTTGCACGAGTCAATCAACCTAAACAGTGTGATCGTCAATAACAACAAGCATAATTACAGAAATCCTCAAGTAGTGCAGATAAGGAGAAGGGATCATCAAACAGATGAAAACATTAAACCTTATGAATACAAGCGGAGCAGAAGTACCTTCCAAGGAGGGAAGTCAGCATGTCATGGTGTGAAGCAGTGACATGGTCTGGGTTCTCATGTTTCCTCTCTCCCAAGTACACGATGTACAGCTAAAAAGCCACCACAAGTAAAACAAGAATGAGAGCCAAAATTAACAAGAGAAAGAGAAAAAACTTACTTTGGCACCGGCTTCAGCTTCTGTGGAGAACAACTGACAGAACTGAAGAGTTAAGAAAGAGAGGAGAAAGACATGGCAGAAATGAGTTTGGGAAGTCATCTCTGTGTTGGTGTGGTTGTCAATGGGAGAACAAGGCTCTCAATTTATACCCAAATTATGCTGCTGTGGGCATATGTTCAGGCATGCAAGACTACATCAGGCCAAAGCTTTTGTTACAAAAATCATTCTGTCATGGTTGGCACACAATTTTTCTTTCTTCAATTTACATCAAATAGATCAGCACAATATTAAAAGTCATTGGTTCTGAGTGTTACATCCTACCTGTCTGGTTTCTAAGCTCAATTTCTGGACACTAGTTGTCTCTACTCTGACTGGTAAATGGTCTTCAATTTGACAGGATTGGTTGATATCTTGTAGAAGCTACTCTAATGAAAACTTCCTTTTTGTTGGATGGAAATTTCAAGTAGGGTTGGACCATTTTCCATTATTCTACAAGAGGTGAAACAGAATTTTGAGAATAAAGAGTTTTTAAAGCAAGAAATTGCTAATGTACAGAAATGAGGGGATCCATGAAACTTCTTCATGAAATTTTTATTTCAGAACAAAAAAAAAAATCCTGCTCATCCATCAGTCTTTTAAGCTTTTATTCTAACTGCTTGGTCGGCCGAATTACTATTAATTTACTATTCCTGATCTAATAATGCTAGTGGACTAAAAGAATGAAGGTCAACCTTCTCACCCAGTCTTTACTCCAACCCAAGTCACAAATTTGTTCTCTTCCCAAATTGTCAACATAGTGACATCCAAGTTTATAGATGTATAATTCATGACAAATAGAAGCTATCCATATACATGCTGTACAGATTTAGGTCAGACAATTTACAAAATGGGATTCATCTCATGTGCTATATTTTTCTCCACGTATCTCTCTTGCACATTTTAGTAGTACCATGTACATACCAGCATCAAAAACAAAAAAGACAGTAAAAGTAGCATGCCAATCAAAATAAAACACAATGGACGCTGCGATCATAATTATCAAAGTCATGTTATGATTTTAATTAATAGCATAGCCTCATAAGTTTCAGCACATAAAACAGCAGATGGATTTATATGTCAAGGTTTTATCTACAAATATTTCCCATATTCCCATTGCCTTAAAGAGAACCAAATGTGTTCTCGCTGCTGTATGTCATGTAAAGAAAACCATCTTCATCTTTGTATTCTTCGTAGATGGCAGACATCATTGCAGCTGCAGTTACAAACATCGTAACTATGAATAATGATAGCAAGCATAACAACACAAGCAATCACAGGGTTGTCTCTGACCTGTTGGTGGCAACGTGTTCTTGACAAAAATGAAGATGGCCTTTTCGGCACTAAGCTTAATCCTCTTCCGAACAACATAAACAAACTGTCCAACTGTCAAATCTGCAGGGACCAGGTACCTACAGACCCATGAGACTAATTCTTACTTAACAGCAAAATATGAAGTCACAAGGAAATATTTGTAGTATTATTAATGTTTACCTTACAGAAAGAATACAAGTCACACGCTCTTCTAGTTGCAGCAACACTATTATTAGCTTCCTAGTGCAGAGTTAGGATATGGATGTCCTCTGTTTGAATTTTCTTATGTTGATTAGTGCCTATAGTGTGGGTGCTTAGCATTCCATTTAATTCTTTACTTCCTCTTCCTCAGAGTATATGTCACAATAAGGAGCTGCTGAATACATAATTAAAAAATTGACCAAGGTTTGGCTTTTGTGATAAGGGAGTAGTATGAGATTAGTACATCAAAAAAGTCAAATAGGTTACTTCAGCATCAAGTTTATGAACATTCATTGCAGATGGTTAAATTAATCGCATCTATCAATACTTGCTTTCAAACATGACCAGAAGAAAAAAAGTGAAGACACTAATTCAAAGAATGAAAGATCAAATATGAAATGTCTATTTAATTATTTAGATAATTGGTTAAACAACAAGAGCTTATAAAAATAATTAAATTAGAAAGAGGCTAACTAACTTCTTCTTATCAATGTCTGGTATATCAGTCCTTTCAGCCTTCTCAACAATCACCTGAATTCAGTAGTAGCCACCTTTAGTTATGTGATCAATTGCACATGCAAGATCTGAAGGCAACATATAAGAAGAGTCTTACAGGAATTCTGTCAGGATACTTCTCTCGGATGCGAGCAGCCTCTGCTTGCCTCCTTTCTGGAATTGGGTGCAAAAATTATTTCAACATATGAACTTATGAAACTTCAATACTATGGACAGTAAAGGAATAAATCATGGTATGCAGTACCGAATGGTACTGCCCGGTACGGGCAGAACGTACCGGTCCGATGACATACCGGTACGCGGACCGCCCGGTACCGGACGGAACGTGCTATGGTGCTACATGAAATAAGTTATTCCACTTACTATCATGCAAGCCACGCTGAAAGCAACTCAAAAAATAGTAAAAAAGCAAATTTAAAAATTAGCATTAGTGCATTTCTACATACAAAAAAGCTTAATAATTATAATAAAAATATATAAGTTTATAAATTGCATGACAATAGTTGATAAAATTTAAATACATAACATGGTCATAAGGATACTAGTCAAATCAAAACATTATCTAACAGCAACTTTTGTCAGTTCGACGAATAAAAGACTGCCAATAGCATCATTCTTTTCCAAGAAAAAAGAAAAAGAAAAGCTCCAGATACAAGAATAAAATGTTTGATGAAATAGTCCATAAAAGCTTATAAGTTAAGACACGTTAGATGATTTCAATAGAGCGAGATGGAAGAAAAGGAACCATATGAAAGGCTGTTCTACTGTAAACAGGTCTACGAGATATATAATACATGATTTACAAGAAAAATAAACAGCAAGTCCATAAATAAAAGCATACAACCAACAACAAAGATTATATATACCAAAGAAGCCCTGAAGAACAAAGATCTGAAAAGAAACGCTTTCCTCTACGAAGAGTAAGGGGATAACACCACAGGATGAGGTACATGTGTATAGAATGACAATGTTCAAGATCAAAATCCTAGAAACCCACTGGACAACCCATTAAAAACTCGAACATATACCAATAGGATCCATAAAGAACGAACATGTGATGAAGAAAAAAGGAAAACGATCACGAAATACCCAAGAGCCAATATTGGCGATTTCCGGGAGAGGCCAAAGAAACAAACCCATATTGCGTACCAAACAAGCCCTAAAGAATGCAATCAACTGAACGAGATTAATCACAAGAACAAAACCCTAGAAACAAACGTAGCGATTTCCTCGAGAATCGCAAGGGGATCTCGCAAAAAGGATCACGAAAGAACCAAAACTAGCGATTTCCGCTACGAAGAGGGAGTGGCCGATGGCACGAACCGAGGGGATGCTCGAGTTTGAAGGAGCTCTTCGCCATCGGTGGCCAGGGGTTCGTCCTGCGATGCCCGAACGGAATGCAACCACCACATCGATCAGACAAACCGGACAAATAGACAGCAAGCTAAAGACGAATGAAACCATACCGATCGCCCAACAAAGAATCGATCCTTTCGTCCTCCGGAAGGTGTTCGATCGAAGAGCCGCGGCCGGACGCTCTTATTTAATTTGTATTTCTGTTTATATATGGAGATATAGATAAAAAAACCAAGTCCATCGATGCGTGCTCTCGAAATATAACCATTTGGAAGGATAAGTGTAATAGTTAAGTGAATTAATCATGCCTTTTACAATTTTTTCTCTAAACACCCGATTGATCATATGGGGGCTAATTAATTAGTGACCTTTAATATCTCGATTTTTATAATTTTAAAAATTATATTGATATTTAGTGAAATATTTAATCTCATTTTTTCTTTGTTAAAAATATAATAAAGTTTATTGACTTTACCTATTTTGATTTATCACTGAACAAATACGATATTTCTGTTAAGATGACATGAAAAGAAATTAGATTAAATATTTTATTTTATAAAATAGAGATCCGAATATAATTTTTGAAAATATAAGAATTACATAACTAATTATAAGAGATAATTTATAATTAACTCAATCGAGATAATAACCTCATACTTTTAAGTGGATAACCATTTATTTAATTTATAAATTCAATTCATCAGTTATTTTAGAGTATCCATAAACAAAATAATGGACTAATTATCATGTTTCTTAATTTCATATTTTCAATTTTAGTGATTAGTATTTTTTTATTCAAAATATTAAACCACATATCTTGAAGGTGTTAGAATTTTACTAAAACTTAACACCAATATCTCATGAGTGTAGAAGTAATTTTCTACATATATACCATAAGATTAATAGGGATACCTCGGAGAGAAGGCAAGGCAAGAACTCCATCTGGTTATGGAAGGTCGGTCATTCATCAAGGATAATTTGAAGCTACAGGTTGAGTTTTTATAACCTGGATCTCGAGCATTAGGGATCCACTCCCTGGAACAAAGATCAGTTGGGTTATGTGCAGATCGTGCTTGCCACTGTTCTCCTCAAAGGCTCTACGAAGGCACCCAACGAGGGTATCATTAGAGAGCTCCTCTGTTGGAGGAAGAGTATAGAGGGAAGAGGCGACAATAGACGTCGCCTCGTCTAGGTGACAAGGACCCACAGTGAAAGCCACCTAGTTTAGGAGAAGGAGAAGCTCCCAAATGGACTTGTGGTGGCTACCAAGGTGTTGGAGAGGACCAAAGGCAATAGCAAGAACATCATCCGACTTCTAAGCTTCTGCTGCAATTTCAGCAGCATCTCTTTAATTGGCAAGAGGGGTGACGTTGTTGTTAGTTGGAGAATTGAGCTCCGATGTTGAAGTCGTAAAGAAGAAAGGATAAATATTGCTCTAAGACAGTAGTGGCTTTGATACCATGATAAGTTGAATTGTGATGATGAATAAGTACGTACTGAAATGATTGAGTACAATGTCTTATTTATACATGTGGGAAAGAAGGATTTCCCTTAATTATCCAGCAAGATTTTATCATGCAATTAAGAAATTCTTTATCTGCTATCATTGAAGATCTTAAGTTCCATCAAGCAAGCTACAATTGTCTAGGGATAATAGTACAATGACAACAGCAACATGCAAACGATATCGCTCTATATAAATCATATAGAACATTATCCCTAGTTAATGTTAAATCAAGAGATAAGGATGACTCAATCCATCATCATTGAGGGGGCAATCAGTGAGTGTCAAGGGAGCCAAATAATTGATATAACGCCTAGCAAGAACACAAGCAGTGCCTTGCAAGTGTGACACACTGAGCACAGAACAGGTTCTCAACAGCTCTTGAAACAGTTGTCTTTTTGGCTTTTGTCGGGCATCATTTATTTGATTGGAAGAGTGACAGTGGGATTGATTGATATGATAAGGCTGTGATTTGCCTATAATGGCCATTCATTGGACTGTATTGAGAGTTATTGCTGTTGAAGCATAAACTTATGGAGTCCAATAATTCTGCAATCATTGTCTGAACAGATACAAAAGCTCAATAAGATCATAAGAAGACAAAATGCAAGCAGATGTTTATGCTGGAATTATCAGTGTATTGGTATTACACATGTAAATCATTATAATTTTAGTAATATGAACCATCCACTACAAAATATCACTATAGTTTCCTGGAATATAATTTTACACACCTAAATCAACTGATATTTGCTAATGTAAATCTGCATCCATATTTGGCATGATTAGATAAGAAAAGAGAATTATATTTGCAATGGGAAGAACAAGCATTACTGTTTCAAAACAATAATCATTATTACAACATCATAATTAACATCATGTACAGTAAGTACACTAACAAAGATGAAACTTATGACCACACTGACTTATTAGTTTCTTTTGTAATGATTATTGTGTGACAAAGATCAACCACAGGAGCAACCTTTGTCAAGTGTTTTCTATTCATCATTGTCCAATAACACATCTACTGACTGTTCCATCATATTAAATTTGCAAGCACTCTTAAATCCTAGTTACTGTCTCACTCAGCTCTTAATTAAGGATTCAGCCATTGGCTGAAAAATCATATGCAATGTTAGAGAGAATAATGTATATAGTCAGTGACATTACCTTATGCTCACATTACAAACATTCTTGATCTTAGATGAGCACTTTGTAGTCTGTACTCTACAATTCAGACTGTAGTCATCCACACATACTGTTCAGAGTCCAAATCCACAAGCTTTCCATGCATGAAGTACCCTTGTCTCAAACATATATCCTGAGTTCAGATAAAAGAATGTTACAGAATAGAATAAATGGAACTGAGATCTTTGTCCTTGTGGAGTATTATGGTCAGACATACTATTATTCTACTCTTGCTATTTTTATTAGCCTTCCCTCAGCCTCCATGTCTTTGTCCGTCCGTGCACACGCTCACCTTCACTGCAAGATGTCCCAAATCTTGAACACCAGCTTTGAGTTCTTGACATGTACGTTTCTTGATTCATATCCATAACAACAAGTTCTTTAGAAGATTAGACATGAGAAGAACAAGTACTGTTGCTTCTGCTTCATTCGAACTTAGATTTGAAGGATGCCAAACTGAAGTCATTCCTTTAGTTTGAGAGAAGAGTAATTGGGCGTAGAGAAGATCCCTCGGAAGCCTACAATATCCCTTGTGTGGTTTCTTCCCTTCCGTCAAATCTAAGAGAGAGAGAGAGAGA